AACCTAAGCATAGGACTTGATATTATCAGCTTTTAGAGCTATGTAACAAGAGGGAGAAGTGATACATCCCCCTAGCTAATGATTACATTATGTTAGTAAAATAAGATTACTTGTCTGTGTGCTATTCATTCTACTTAGAATTGTCACATACAAAGATACCATTAAGCAAAAGAAGTATGATCCAGAGAAAAGATGGTGAGATATAACGGGGAGAAGAGGGAAAGAAAGACGTATTAGGAAGGAGTTTAAGGGAGTGTAAGAGTGTAAGGTATAAATCTAAGTAGGTTTCCCCTCTTGTAGGCAGCCCAACCAAGGAGTCCAGATAAGGTGGTATGGTTTTAGTCTTCGGTAGAGGGAAGAGGTCATTTTCTTTATTATTCTCATTTCCTTCACTTTTGAAGGAAAGATGAAGGCCGATCATACATATGGTTAACCAGAACCAGGAAATTCACATTATTTAGGAAATGTTTAACTAGGATTTTTCACTGTTAAGTAAAAATATCACTGGGTAGAATGGACAGTATCATTTAGCAGTGCACAGCAATCTGACAATTATTTAATATATTCCCAGTATTACTCCAAAAGTGACATGAGGAGTGCAGTTATCCCTTTTAATGAATGGATCACCTCTGTGCCATTTAGGGATAGTAATATTGGACCTACTGGCACCTGTTCCTGTCTTCCGAAGATTAGTGGGAACAACACATTTGAGCATCAGCTTCATTTTTAATTCTGTTATTTCTTGAGTGGTATTAACATTGCATTTTGAGAAATTAACCTGGTTTAGCTGATCAATTTAGGATTTTTTAAAAAAATCACTGTAACTCATTTTATGGCTGAAGCAGAAATTGGAGGAGAAGAGAGGTAGAATAGTGTATAACAATGATGAATACTTTAGCCATGAGGTTAAAATCTATTATTTAAAAAAAATCCTCTGTCATTTTTTAGTAAGTAAAAGCAATACCAATCAGCCTTCAGTATAATATAATACAGATTCATTTTTCAGCCAAGCAACAGTATTAACTATATTAACTATATGGCCAAATACATTTATTTATATTCTCTTAGCTTTTTGAGAATCTGCCTTCCCAATAATGCCAGCGTATTTCTTATAAGATAATTGTTTGACCATTGTGTGTATTTAATTTTCTCATCTATTGTATATTCAGTTGGGTAAATTTGTGCATTAAATTACAAGACTAGAAGATTGTTTCTAGATTCTGATTAGATTCTAGATTAGATTCTGTTCTGTCTTAATGTGGGGTTACTTTTGCAATATTTGCTTTAAATAACTGTTATGCGCTTTTTTTTTTCTCAACCCCCCCCCCAAAATAAATAAATAAATAAATATATATATATATATATATATATATAAATCTCAGCCGTGCAGATATGAAATGTCTGTGTTAAAATTGTGTTCCTATACCCACTACTTTAATAATGAAAAACAAATAAAGATTCAATGAATCATTATCAATGAATGGGATACCCACAGGTGGAAACTGGGATGACAAAATGTATATGTTGTCTATTTTATGGCTCGTTGACATTAGTGTTCATGTTTAACCCCTTAACGACTGTGGACTTAGTACGTCCGCGGCAAATAGAAGCCCTGGACTTACCTGGACCGGCGATCTGCATCAAGCACGGTCAGGGTGGGGGGCAACGGGGGGATCCCCCTGTAGCAGCTATGGCTACCCTGGCCCTCCAGGGCCATATGATCACCATGATCACATCGCTGCAATAGGAATCTATGGAGCTGCCAGCAGGGGAACTGTCTGAGCTGTCAGGCAGTCCCCCAGGCTTCTAAAAGGTAAAAAAAAAATTATATATATTTATAGATTATACATATATCATATATGTATAATATATTTTAAAATTGTTAAAGCATTTTATAATATATTATACATATATAATGCATATTTATGATTTCATTGTAAGTGTACTTGATATATATACGCATATATCTCAAAATACACTTAGAGTGAAATCATATATATGCATTATTGTCCTGGTCCTTAACGGTAAGAAAATTGAAAAGCAGTCTGGTCACTAAGGGGTTAAATCTGATAGCTTTTCTTGAATTTACTATGCAAACCCAGTGAGGCAAGAATATGTCTGCCAAAAGGAAGAAGATCAGTGGACGTTATATCAACTGTGTGATTAGATCTACTCAACCATATTTAAAGAATGATAACCAGCGAGAAAACAAAGCAAAACACTAGTTTTAGTATTTCACAGACTTTTAAAAAAAAATTAAAAAAACAATCCATTAGCTGAATATTCACCAAATATACTTAATTAACAATTATAGTAAAGTATCGTCCATGGTTATTGCATTAGAGAAATTCCAAACACCTAAACCACTTTAGTTTGCTGAAGAGCTTTGTGTGTGAAGAGTGTGTCCTGTTTTCTCAATTTTACAAGAATGTGCAGATCTCAATAGAAATTGACACTTTCATAAATTAGCCTTGCTATACCCCCTGGTTGTCATTTAGATAACAAGTCCTGGTATTTCTTGGGTGTTTAGCTCAGTGAAGCTAAACTCAAGAGGTAGCAATTGTTTAGAGCTCCTGCCTAGCAAATGCGTCTTATTGAGCTGCACTGGGAAGCCTGTGATTGGACAGCCACAGAAAGTCTGGGCGGGGTTAGAAGGGGAGGGCTTGCAAAAGCTGCATACAAGAGATCTTAATTAAATGTTAAATGTATCTTTTCATTTGGGTAAAAACTACTAAAAAGTGATTTTTAGTTATTTTCTGTTGTATTTGGGCAGTGTAGTGTTTCTATTTATTAAAGGGTCTCTGAGATAGGTTTATGACTTGTCCTTTTAAGGCATTTTATATATAATAGATATAAATATGTATTTCAAAAATGTTTATCTTTGAATGCCATTTATGTCTGTGTCTTTTTGCAAAAACGTTCATCCTTCAGAATTAATGACTTCACCCAGTAATTGTCAGATATTTTTCAGAGTCTCATAGAATTTTATCGTAAAATATGTGGGCATGAGAGAGCATAAAAAGAGAAATGTATAATAGTCAATGTCTCTGAGCGGATATATAATTGAGCTAACCAGTTTGCATGTTATTTTGTTTATTCTTTTTTTTAAAGTTAATTTATATTTAAATATAAACTGACAAGGGTTAAAGGGGCTACCACTCTTGATTCTATACTATTACTGACTTTGTATTCCTTAATAAACTTACTTCATTAATCTGTGTCACTTATCAGGATAAAATAATTTTTCTTCAAATATTTCATTAACCACTTTGACCACATTAGCCGGGGAAAAAAAAACCTGCCCTTCACTGCAATAACAATATTCAAATATGATTTTACAGCTCATTACCATGGTGAGACAAGTCCATCAAGTTAAAGTTCCCAAACACAATTCCCAGAATCCCTTGCTAGACAATGCCTAGTAAAATGTATGGGGAAAAAAAAACCTCATAGGCCAAACACCGACAGCCATGATCTAGATTTTATTAAGACACGGAGGCTCCTATTATGCTGCACTCTTTCTTTATTTTCCCTCAGCAGCAAAGAAAAATTTTTTTAAAACGTAATCAAAGTTAACAATAAACAGTCTGAGAGGAGTATCCTAGCAACAGGAACAGCCAATCGGATTCCACTCTCCAGCATAATAGGCTCTGTGAACCAATCCAATTCCTCTTTCTTTGCTGCTCCCTCAGTTAAGTAACATCAGATCCCATGGTTTCTTAACTGTGGGATCGCTTTTTACATTTTATATTGCTGTTTATATTGCTATTTAGTTACTTATTTATTTATTTAATATTTCTTCTTTAAATTGTTTTACTATACTACTCTTTTAAATCGCTTGTTTTTAAAATTATGTGTCATTGCTGACCAAGCAGCGCTTGAGGGTTAAACTTTTGAGGGTTATTGAAGTTTTCAACTAATCCCCTCATAGCTTAGCGTTTTTTCTGCCTGTCACTTGGCTGATTTCCTTAACCCTGAGCCGGTGAGTCTCACCGTGCTCGGGGGGGTTTTCTATTTCCCAACCCCGTCCGACCGTTAATGAGGCGAGCGCGCGCGCTTCCCTCCTTGCTCCCATTCACCTCTGTCCCGCTGTTTAGATACCCGCGTTCGGGTATTTGATGCGAACGCACTCTAGGCATTGCGTTCGCACCACGAATTTACAGTTCCAGTTTTCTCGCGGTCTAACCCGCGAACGCTTTCCTCCATTGACACAGACGTTCGCCTATGCGAACGCTTCTGTCCCATCCCCGTTCGGGATTTTTTCTCACTATTGCGGCGGCCATTTAGTGCTTTCCCGCGCTCTGCCACTAGCACTGCCCCCCACAGACCGGAACTCTGAGTTGGGAGCTAGTGCTAGTGACGGTCGGACGGCTTTCCTCTCTCTCCGGTACCTGTATTAATTCTATGAGTGAACACTTTATTATATTATATTGTACTGTTTTTTCCTTTCATATATTCTGTCCAGTATTATAGATTCCCTCCTACAGGGTTACTCAACCCTCCCCTATAGCTTTTGTTACCAACAGGTTATCATATTTCAGATTCATATATAATCCTGTCAGTCACTGTCATAACTATGCCTTCTGACAAGGATACTCCCTCTGGGTCTATTAACCCTGACAGGGCTGGTTTTCAGGCACCTTCAGGTGTATATGACGATATGGCGGTTCCATCCGCTGAGCTTGATACCCCTGCTGTTATGCAGACCTTGATTGATGACACCATGTCACAGGCTATGACTAAAGCCCTCATGTCGGCCATGGGACTAATGTCTGATTCCATATCCCAGACACTTACACATGCCCTAATCCAGGCGCAAAAATCAGCGCAACCGACTTCGGCCCAGATGGTGCCTGTCACAACCCCTTTACAACCTCAGACCGGCCGCAAGGCCTTGGCAAAAATGAAACATTCCTCAATGCCACAGATGGACAGCCATGCACCTGTCACAGATGGCGCGTCTATACAACCGCGCAAAAGAGCCACTAGCCGGGCAAAATCGGCTAGATTGTGGAAAAGGGCAAGGGCCCAAGTTGATTCTGAGTCTGATCTCAGCGACATTGAGGAGGAGGCTTCTGTTGTTTCGGAAGATCCATCGGATCCCGACTCAGATTGCCCGGCCGGGGACTACGACCATTCTCAGGACTACAGTCCGCTCCAGTCTGACATGCCTGTTGTAGACCACAAGGCACAAAGGGATGTAGATATGATTGTGGATCAACACGGTGAACCCCTGTTTGATCCCGACCTCTTACGCCACCCACGGTCGGCGGAATGGTCCCCCCCAGAACATGTGGCCAAATATATAGCGTCTAGGGTACGCAAGCCTTTAGAAAAGGCGACACGGAATAAACTACGGGCAGAATGCCCGCGCCCCACAGTCCCAGATGATGCCTGCAGCACACCTGCAGTTGACCCAAAGATTACCCAATTCTTGGGAAAGACAGGCTGGAAGCCCAACAAAGGCTTGGAGTTTGCCCTGCGCAATTGCCAAGACAAGGTCTTGGACATCCTGGGCCCAGCTACCAAAATATTCGAAGTGGTCCAAGATGACCAAGAGTTGGATCGGGCCGCCATAAATGGATGGATCCAACGGATTATTTGCCTGATTGGCAATGCCAACACGGCAATAGCCACGGAACGCCGCAAGGCGATACTATTGAAAATAGAACCAAAATTGGTTAATATGGCCCTGAACGAACCGGGCGCCCAAGCTAAGGGTCTCCTATTCGGAGACAATTTTGTCAAGGAATTGGGCTCCTTTGTCCATACATTTACTGCCCTAGATAAGGCGCAATCCAACATGCGCAAGGTGTTTCACCCCAAGGTTTTTGGTGGGGCCGGAAGAGCAAGGAGCCGTCTGTCCGGCCGTGTTAACAGAAGTTCTTTTAGACAGAACAGAGGCTCCTATACGGGACGAGCCAGTTTCACAGAACACCGCAACGCTCCGGCGTTCTTCCCACAGCGTGGACGGCCATGGGTTGCCCGTGGACCACGGAATGCCCACTCCGGACGACGACCTTACGGTAAGTCCTCTCCATTTACGTTCTTCCCTATGGGCAGTGGGGGGCAGACTCCGACATTTTTCCCACATGTGGGCTTGCATATCGTCAGATTCTTGGGTGCTAAACACCATAACAGGATATACAATAGATTTCCTGTCCCTACCCGTGCAATTCTCCCAACCACGAGAAATGTCTTTTTCCCTAGCAGACAAGACCCTGGTCACCCAGGAAGTTTCAGACTTACACCACAAAAAGGCCATTTCAGAAATCCCAATGGCCACGGCAGGTTATGTCAGCAACCTGTTCCTGGTTGCCAAGAAAGGCGGCGGGGTCCGCCCAGTGATCAATCTGAAACAACTCAACACTTACGTCTCTTACAACCATTTCAAAATGGAAGGAATACATTGTCTAAGAGACCTCCTCCAACCAGCGGATTGGATGGTGAAACTGGATCTCAAAGACGCTTATCTTACAGTGCCGATCGCCCGGCACCATCAGGATTTCCTGCAATTCATTTGGCAGGGCAAGAAGTGGAGGTTCACCTGTCTCCCTTTCGGGCTGTCATCGGCCCCGTGGTGCTTCACCAAACTCATGAAGCCCGTGACGGCCTTTCTTCGGAGCCGAGGAGTGCGTCTTATAATCTATCTGGACGACATCCTCATTATGGGCCAATCCGCCCAAATTGCACGGACCCATTTGAACTGGACTCAGACCCTATTACAGAACTTGGGTTTCCTCATCAATTGGGACAAATCCATCTTGACTCCCACTCGGCACATAGAGTTCTTGGGTCTCATCGTAGACTCCACGTCTCAGACCCTACATCTACCGATGTCGAAACTGAACAATATCAAAAAGGAAATCAAACGCTCCCTGGCAGCTCCTCAGCTGTCCCTCAAACAGTTGGCAAGGGTGATTGGCCTCCTGGCGGCCTCCATACAAGCCATCTTCCCGGGGCCGCTCCACTACCGGGCGTTACAACGCCTTCACGCTGCCAACCTGAGAGACGGGGTCGCCTACACAGATCTGATCACTCTGAACTCGGAAGCGAAGGACGAACTGACATGGTGGCTCTACCATATGGAAGCCTGGAATGGTCGAGCCATTTTTGGCACCGCACCAGATCTGGTAATAGAATCAGACACGAGTTTACACGGCTGGGGTGCTCGCTGTGGAGACATCTCTACAGGTGGCAGGTGGTCCAACAGCGAAGCTACACTCCACATCAATTGCCTGGAACTCCTGGCAGGATCCTTTGCGATCCGCAGTTTTTCACCGACCCTGGTACAATGCTCTATCCTTCTGAAGATGGACAATATATCGGCAGTCCGATATATCAACCATCTGGGGGGCACGAAGTCAAAGGTCCTGGCGAACATGGCACGAGATTTTTGGCAGTTTTGCCTGACTCAAGGCATTTCTGTGACAGCGGAGTATATTCCCAGGCTCTGCAACACCACGGCAGATTGGTATTCACGACACCTCCGGGACGCCAGCGATTGGCAATTGGACCCCAGGGTATTCCGAACTATTCAATCAATATGGGGCCCCATGGACAAAGACCTGTTTGCCTCCCGCTTGAATGCGCAACTTCCCCGATTTTTCAGCTGGAGGCCGGACCCAGCAGCGCTAGCGACAGATGCGTTCACGCAGGATTGGTCGTCCACAAGGAATTATGCCTTTCCACCGTTTGCACTGATTCCTCGCTGCCTCCTACAGTTACGACGACAGTCGGGAACCCTGGTGCTTGTCGCACCGTTATGGCCCTCCCAACCTTGGTTCCCTCCCCTCCTGGAGATGGCGGTGGACGTGCCTCGAATTCTCCCACACTCCATTTATTTACTGCAGGACCCAGATGGGGCCCCCCACCCCCTGGTGCAGCAGGATCTGCTACGGCTAACAGCGTGGCTAATTTCAGGGGACCTTGGGCAATCGAGGGAGTTTCGGAATCGACTCTCCGCCTTCTCGAGAACGCATGGGCACCCGGCACAAGACAGGCTTATAAGTCTTCATGGGGCAAATGGCGTGATTGGTGTCTGGAACGAGACTTGGATCCCATATCAGCTCCTGTGAGTGATATCCTCCACTTCCTCACGTCCCTGTTTGAGGATGGCAAGGCCTATCGTACAGTGAACCTATACCGCTCGGCCATTTCAGCGGCACACCAGGGGACTGCGGGTGTCCCGATTGGACGACACCCGTTGATATGTAAACTCCTACGTGGCATTAAATTCACCCGACCCCCGCTCCCACGATATTCGATGTTATGGGACGTCTCCGTCGTCCTAAAATTCATTGAATCATGGCCAGACAATGCACAACTGTCCCTGAAACAATTGTCGGCCAAGCTGGCTATACTTCTCTGCCTCATTTCTTGCAAAAGGGTATCCGATGTCAGAGCTCTGGACATTACCGCACGCTCCTACACCCCAGATGGGGTCACCTTCGATATCTCTCGCAGAACGAAGACGTCCTCGAAGTCGGTGTCATACCCAGCGTTCCCCGACAGACCGCTCTTATGCCCAGTCAAGTGCCTACAATCCTATGAGCTCCGCACCTCCACATTTCGGGACATGACAAAACAAGAGCTTTTCATATCCTTCCGGAAACCTCACCTACCGGTGTCTACCCCGACCCTGGCGCGATGGGTCAAATGGATGATGTCCATAGCAGGCATCGACACTTCACTATTCTTACCTCACTCAGTGCGAGGAGCGATGGCTTCCAGAGCCTCCATGATCGGTTGTCGACTGGAAGACATTTTGAAGGCAGCTGACTGGTCCTCAGAATCGACTTTCAGGGACTTTTACTTTAAACCCATTCAACACTTCGCAGGATCTATAATTTCCCAGCTTTAAACCAGCATAATAGGAGCCTCCGTGTCTTAATAAAATTCACAGATTTTACTATTAGCATGACGTAAAGTCATGATTTTATTAACGACACGGAGGCGAGTATTATCCCTCCCTCCCATCCCAAGGAAGGATGGAATATGGGTAAGTTGATTTCAAGGTAAGTCCTAGTAGTTTGAGACTGATACACGTTAGGCTTGCCGATACTCCACTTAACTGCTCAGACTTCTTAAACAAATGTCGTGACATTGGACATATTATGAGTTATTTGGACATCCAGTTTAATACAAAGATATTACCATATTTCTCCTTGTCTTACAGCTTAACCTTCTTCAGGTCATTGGAAGTTCCCTTGTTACACGGTTCTCTTGTCTGGACTGGATGATTACACTACTTCGGGATCGCAAATCAAGAGGAATTGGATTGGTTCACAGAGCCTATTATGCTGGAGAGTGGAATCCGATTGGCTGTTCCTGTTGCTAGGATACTCCTCTCAGACTGTTTATTGTTAACTTTGATTACGTTTTTTCTTTGCTGCTGAGGGAAAATAAAGAAAGAGTGCAGCATAATACTCGCCTCCGTGTCGTTAATAAAATCATGACTTTACGTCATGCTAATAGTAAAATCTGTGAATTGTGTGGGTCTGACTGCCCAATGGGCCCAATTTCCCTTCGATCGGGGAGAGAAGGCGGGAGGTTCCAGAAGAAGGGGGAGGGACCTGTAAGGCAGATTGCTCCTCCCGCGAGCAGGCTGTGTGGCGCGTTGCTGCGCATTACGATGGCAGCGCTCCACACAGCATTCTGCACGCGGGAGGACAGGAGACGGCCTGCAGACTGACAAGCTGCAGTCTGTACAGAACTCACCACCACTGGACCACCAGGGCTGTATGAAGGTGTTATTGGTGTATAGCATTATTAAAAAACAAACACATTTGCTACCTGCACCCCTCAAGCTCTGCAACACACACACAGACACACACCACCCCTCACACACACACACACACAGCACCCCTCAATGCAGTATGTGTGTGTATTCAGCAGTCTGTATGTATTCAGCGGACTGTGTGTGTGTGTATTCAGCGGACTGTGTGTATTCAGCGGACTGTGTGTACGCAGCAATCAGTCTGTGTGTACTCAGCACTCCGTGTGTATTTAACAGTCTGTGTGTGCTTGTGTATTCAGCGGACTGTTTGTATATATTCATCAGTCTGGGTATGTGTTTGTGTATTCAGCGGACTGTGTGCGTGCGTTTATTCCTGTGAGTTGTGTGTAGGCAGGGCCCCAGTGCACTGCTTTGCCCGGGGGCCCATAATGTTAGGTTTGGCACTGGCCCGCTGAGTCAGAGATCAATAACTGTTTGGAAGGAGGAGTTGGCAAAGAGGTCAATACCTGACCATAGGCAGAATTGCTGGTTTCACACAAAATATCCTGTGATTATTTACCAGATTAGCAAAAATTACATAATAAGACTCAAACCCTTTGGACACAGATGATTAAAGACTTGTTTATAAAAAAAAAAAAAGAACTATTGATTATATTTTTTTTAAATGCACACTAGACACAATATTAACATGGAGGATATTTTAAAGCACAAGAAAATGGGAAAAGAAAGCTAAAAATGTTA